TTTTTTTTTTTAAGTTTTTATTGTGATTTGGGTGAAAGTTTATATAGAGCAAATGCATTTTTCATAGAGCAGCATACATACACTTTGTCTCATGACAATGACTACAGTCTCCCACAATGCAACAGCTCCCTTTCTACTTCCTCCCCATAGTTACCTCTTCCCTGTGTCCTTCCCTCCCATGCACTCCTGCCCCCTGAGCTGTCTCCCTGTGCATACACAGTCCTTCTATTCTCCCATGATTGATCTCTCCAAGGAGTGCATCCACCTGATATAAATCTTCAGCTCATATGCCTGCCTTTTGTTTGGCTGGAAGCCACAGGAGTGGGTTCAATTCCAGATCTGAAGGGCAGGTAGGGGCCATAGTCTCAGGGGTTCCACTAGGCTGTACCAGACCAACAAACCTGTTCCCTTTTACTTATTTATTTTTTATAAATTTGAGTTTTGTTCCCCATTGTTCTCCCATTCTATCCAGAATCTCCTACATAGATCCCCCTCCAAGTGGTTGACAGTGATTGCCAGGCACCATCTTAGTTCTTTTGGTCTCATAGTCATATAGGCTGGGGATTGCATGGTGCACCAGTCCCTTGGACTAACTGCTTCTGTGCATCTTCGGTTTTCTTCATTCTTCTTTGTTCTGGCCGAGGAGATAGCATCATTGCATCTAGACGGCCACTTGCAAGCTTTTCATATCCCATTCGCTACTTGCCAAAGTAGGATATGGCAATGTTTTTGTGTAGTATTTTATGCCAAGTGAGCTTGATACCATCATTGCATCCAGAGGGCCACTTGCAAGCTTTTCAGATCCCAGTTATTACTTGCCAGAGTGGAATGAGAACAATGTTTTTGTGTAGTATGTTATGCCAATTGAGCTTAATGTCCCCTGCGACCATGGTCCTGAGCCCACAGGTGTAACTACTTGTTCCCTCTGGGAATCTAGCTGTCCCTTGTCAGCTCTACTATACACCTTGCTTCCACCTTCTGATTATTTTGACTAGTGCTGCAATAAACATTGGTATCAAGTCAGACTCAGTGTACAAATCTCTGTTTGAGTCTCTGCTTTTAAGTCTTTTGAGTATACACTTAGGAGTAGAATTGCTGGGTCTACAATTCTATGTTAAGTATTTAAGGAAACACTACACTATTTTCCACAATGATTGTGCCATTTTATATTCCCACCATCAATGGTAAGGGTTGCAATTTCCCTACATCTTCAACAATATTTGTTACTTCCTATTTCTGTTGTTGTTCCTTTTAATCTTAGACATTCCAGTGGGAGTAAAAAAGTATGTTATTGTGGTTTTGATTTGTATCTCTCTGATGGCTATTGACACTAAGCGTATTTTCATGTGTTTGGTGGCCATCTGAATGTCTCTGTGGTGAAATGTCTATTTAAGTCCTTTGCCCATTTTATGATTAGCTATTTCTTTTTATTGTTAAGTTGCTGAAGATTTTTAATCTATTTTGGTTATTAGGTTCTTGTCAGATATATGGTTTCTGAAGACAAAGCATGTCATTTCACTTTTCGTAGTCTTTTGATAAGCATAAGCTTTTAATTTTTACAAGGTCCCATTTATTTTTTTTGTGTTATTATTGTGTTTCTGTTACTATATTAGATAATTCACTGCAGTAAGGTAGGCCTGATAGTGTTATCCCTGCTTGTTCTTCTAAGAATTTTTTGGTTTTATTTTGCACATTTAGGTCCTTAATCCATTTTGAATGTGTTTTTGCATATGGTGTGAGGCATGGATTGTGTTTCATTTTTCTGCATGTGGAAATCCAATTATCCCAGTCTAATTTATTGAAGAGATTCTTTTGAATGGACTTAGCATACTTACCAAAAATCAGTTGACTATAGATGTGTGCATTTATTTCTGGACTTTCAATTCTATTCTATTAGTCTGTGTGTCTATTATTATAACAGTACCAGACTGTTTTGATTACTATAGCTTACAGTATGTTTTAAAATCAAGAAGTGTGCATTCTCCTACTTGGGTCTTTTCTTTCAACATTATTTTAGCTATTTGGGGCCTAATGCCATTCCATATAAAGCTGACGACTGTTTTTCTATTTAGGTAAAATGTTGGAATACTGAATGGGATTATATCGAATCTATAGATCGCTTTGGTTTAGTACTGACATCCTCACAATACTAAGCCTTCCTATATATGAAGATGGAACATCTTTCCATTTATTTAAGGCTTCTTTAATCTCTTTCACCAGTGTTTTATAGTTTTCATTGCGTAAGTATGTCCCTGCTTAGATTTATCCCTAAGTATTTCATTTTCCCTAAAGTTACTGTAAATGGAACTGTCTCTAATTTCCCTTTCACAATTTTCATTGCTTGTATTTAGAAACCCAACTGATTTTTTGTTTCTTAACATTGTACCCTGAAATTCTGCTAAATTCCTCAATTAGCTCTAGAAGTTTTCTTCTAAAATTTTTATAACAGACATTTTCATAATCAAAAAGAAGGAATGAAAGTTCTGTGTTGAAAAGTTATCAGTTCTAAGTAAGACTGATGTGATTACAGAACCATGAGGAGAACATATGATCAGAAACTCATATGCAATGGAAAAAGCAAGAACATTTGCTTTGCCCTCACCATTGCAAAGACAGCTATGCCAGGGCCTCATGTAGGAGCCTTTGAGTTACCTGGTTGTTGACAACCACGTGCACAGTGCCGTGTGTGGTATAGGATGGCAGGTCACTGAGGTGGAAGGTTTCATACACAATTCCCTGACCAGCAAATGCAGCATCTCCGTGTAGAAGGATGGACATGACCTGAAGAAAAACAGGCAGAGTCTCCTCACCACCAAATTCCACAAGTTAAACAGTGAAAATGAATTCATAATTTGCTTTCTAAAACAATGTTTGAACAAATAATTTCAAATGCAGAAAAAAGTTGCATATCAGTACAAACAATCTTAGTATCCCCTTCACCCATCTTCCCCAATTATTTACATGTTACTGGATTTGCTTCTGCTCTGTAAATCTCCACTGTCATGCAGTTAAGAAGTTTTTCTTGAACTGCCTGTATGGCTGGCACTTTCTCTGCAACAAGTATCACTCAAATGCATGCTGTCCTTATTTTCTTACGGTCATTCTCCTAATCTACAATCCATTATCTCCTGAGAGCAGTTTCTTTCTTCTAATCCTCCAATTATAATATTAGTAAATTTCTTTTGAATTACAGAACCAATTAAATTAGTACTTGGTTCTTCTCATGAAAAATCGGACTTGTCCTTTGAGCTAGCCTTACCCTTTCGCCTCAGGTAAGTTGGCCTTTTCCTCTTCTGCCTAATCCTCCCCTCTCCATCTTTGTTCTTATCTCTCATTCCCACAGGGTGTTATTCCTGCCACATCTGTCTAAATCCTACCATTCTCATCTCTTCTCTTATTAAATATAATAACTACCTTATCCTGTGAAAAGAGATTTTAAGGTCTTTTATCCTTTTTCCTTTACAACTCAAGCCTGCATTTATGTATCTTTCTTTACCCTATTTACTCTATCTAGTTCTTGACTGGTTAACTTAGCAATTTTATATCATGTTATTTTATGTTCTATTAGCTTCTTCACAGAAATATGTTTTATGTTTTATTTATCTTTTATATTCCATTTCTTCTTCATAGAAATATTATCTTATTTCTATGTCCTTGAGAGTAAGGTCAATACAGCCTATTTCTTATATTCCTCAGGTGCACATGGTAAGCAACTAGGAAATATATCCAACCAATATTCAGCTAATGAATAAATTCTGGGAAAAAAAAAAAAAAGAGTTTTAAAGAGTCAGTCTCATTTTGCCAGGAGAGACAGTGTGGTCTGGCCACTGTCACACATTGTAATGACAGATTCAGGCACAACCAGAGCTTCAAGCTCATTTTTCTACATTTCTGAATGGTATCATGAACTTATTTCCCTGACAACACTGAGACCTTTTCTTCTCACACATTTATCAGCTGGACATTTCTCCTTCAGGCTCACCTACATTTTCCCTTACTAAGATTTTCTCCTTTTTTTCAGTAAAAATGCTCCTTATCCAATAGTAATGTATGTGTAAGAATGGCATCTCCACAGATATGATGAAAATAGAAGCAAGTAACTACCTATTTTTGGTGGCTACAACTTTGGTAGAAAGCGTATTTGTAAGTGGGACTATTTTGCTGTTTGCTACTCTTATAAAGTTGGTTTAGAATATTTCTTTGAATTCCAGAGTTGAGAAGTCTAAGACATTCCAAGGGACTTCACAATACTGCTAGGGAATGGAGACTCTATCTTGTGTAGGGAGACAGGAAAGACTGCTTCATTCAGCTTATAAGCTACATCCAGAAGCTGTGTCCTCACAGGCCTTGGCTGCCGGCCCTCACCTTTTTCCCTTCAGTGTCCCCACAGTAAAACTGCTCAGCTTTGGTCTTGCCCATCACCACAGGATCAGCAGCCTCGAGGTGGGAAGGGTTGGCCACCAAAGACAGAGTGATATTCCTGTCTGTCACACGGTTAATCCTCCGATGATACATCCCCAAGTGATACTTCACATCTCCAGAGCCCTGAAAGTATAAGAAAACCAAACCCAAACACACTGCCATCAAGTCAATTCCAAGTCATAGCACCCTACAGGACAGAGTAGAACTGCCCCATAAGGTTTCCAAGGCTGTAAGTTTATACAGAAGCAGACTATCTCTTCTTTTTCTTTCAGAGCAACTGGTGGGTTTGAGCTGCCAACCTTTTGGTTGATTCTAAATCAATGCCACCAGAGCTCCTCGTGTTAAAACACAAACAGTGCCTTAGTACACCAGGTGAGGAAAAGTCACATTCTCATTATATAGAAGAGCTATGAGTGTAACTCTTCACACAGATCCTTTATATTTTATTTCTATTCCCAGAACCCCTTATTCCTTGGAAGAATGGGAAAGCCTTCTGCCCAGTACTATTCTGACCTTGGACATGGGGAGAAGTTCTCTAATTCAGACGGATATCTGCTTGCTTTCCAGCAAGGTATTACTATGGGTGCTCTCTTCACCCAACACAGAGTTCTCAAAGTGGTCTGGCACTGGCCACCTTGTCCCAGATTCTCTGAAGCAGGAAGGGAAACTGTAAAATGGTATTAAAGATCCCAATCCAGTCTTTTCTCAAGAGAGAGTTGGGGAGATCTCATGTAGGCATGGAATTTTCATACACTCAACTCAGGCATGGAAACAATTAGGGTTAAAACTCTGCCAGAAGTTTCTCCAAAGAAGCATAGGTGACTCACCTCATCAGCTGCCTCCAACTTTGAATCAAACTGACAGAAGATCTGTTCTAGCTCCTTCCTGATGACATTTGCAAGCACGTTCAGTCGCCCTCTGTGGCACACAGGGTGGGTAAGTGACTAAATGGAGCTCACTGGGGCTGGCCCCCAGTGGACTTCTCCCCATCCAGTACTCCACATTCAGACAGCCACCACCTTCTTATAACCACTCCCCTCACTTGTTATATACAGCATCTTTTCAGTATGTAACGTAAGAAGAACTGAGACTTAGGGCTGTTAGCCAACACTGAACCCATGCTCCCAGGTACCTGGATGAAGGCCACACAAGGGCAAGGGCATAAGGACAGGCGCAGAAGGCTGAAGGGCCACTGGCTGGTACATGCTGTGTGGTTTGGCCTCCCACCCATACATGCTTTTCCTGACTTCTAAGTTTACAACAAGGACAGCAGCATTCCCAGCAGATTAACAATCTGCCTTCTGCTGTGGTCCCTGACATGGGTATGTTTGGTTTACTCTTTATAAAAACATAACCCAAGGCCAGGATGACTTGTCTAAAACATGTGGCCTTGGATATGACAGTGACTCTCAAAACTGAGAAAAAGAAACTCACAGCAGGAATAATGGTCATTCTAAATCAGGGACAATACAAAAACAACTGGAAAATAAGACATTCTCACATATTATAACCTGAGTCTTCCTTCAAGCAGACTAAATGGAATTTAAAATGGAAGGGGGCTAATTGTTAAGTCACTATGCATGACCCAGTGACTTAAATGCATAAAAGACTATACAGGAATGGCGCAGGAAACCAAACAGCTTTTTTCCCCTAATACGCAATGATGAGAGAAACAGGCAGACATTTCTTATCCAGAGGGGAAGGATCAAGCAAGAGGGCCCCAACTCTTGCAGAACCCTCCCTAACAGTTACCTATGTGGCATGCCCATTATCACGTAATCGACTCCATTCTCACTGGACTTGTCAATGATGGTCTTCAGGGCAGGGATCAACACCTCACAGCCTTCCAAACCAAAGCGCTTCTCGGAGGACCACTTCCGCTGAAGGAACTCCTCAAACCTGAAAGGAAAGCCCAATTAATCCTGAAGAAACTGTTACAAGGTACTGAATCCCAAAGTCAGACTTTCTAAAACCACAAAAACTAGTCCAGTTGCTGATGAGTCAAGTGCGACTCATGATGACCCCATGTGTGTCAGAGTAGAACTGTGCTCCATAGGGTTTTCAGTGTCTGATACTTCAGAAGTAGATCATTAAGCCTCTCCCCTGAGATGCCTCGAGGGGGACTTGAACCTCCAACCTTTTGGTTAGTGGGCAAGAGCTTTAATCATTTCCACCACCCAGGGACTCCTAAATAACAAATATTACATGTAAAAGTTTAGGCAGAGAGGATTTCCTTTCACAGATGAGGCTGCATACCACTTCTAAGGCCCACCCTTACTAAAAGGGAGGCTACTAAGACCACATTATAGGATGACAGACCACACTGTAGGGAATAAATATTCACACATCTAGGACTGTGTCTTTTCTGGAAGGCTCACGTTTTAGGAATCCAGCTTTCCGACAAGCCAGACAGATACCTGGTAGACCGCACAAGCCTGGCCAGCAGAGTTCGTTTCTCCTCGTTTGTAAACTGCATGATACCAGGAGTCTCAAACTTTTGCCTGATCCACTGGCACTGCTCCAGGTCATTGATAAACATAAACTCCACTCCAATATGCTGACAATAGGCCATCTATTTCACAAAGAAACACATGGTGAAGAAAATTTTTAGTTAGATCTGGTAGAACATAAAATATGTTGACTATCTGTTCAGCTAGAAGGCAGGAGAAGAACAGTCAAGTGACGTCCTTTTCTTTTTTAAATTGTGCTTACTGGCTTCCTTTTAAAATGCATCAGAACATAAATGAAGCCCAATGGAGAAAAATACTGCCAGCACCAAGCAAAGTCACCTTCTCTTACTCCAAATTTGGCCATGAAATGTTCTCTTCAGGGAGCAGGTTACATGCATGCAGAGATAGGATGACAGGTAAAGAACAGCAAGGACCTCTAGGCCTCATTCAGGGCCAAGGGTAAGGACAATTTCCCCAACTCGACTCCTTTACTCTTGGCAGGGAGACCAAGAGTAAAAGCATCAGCTTTGGGATCTGAATAGTTCTCTGAGGAAGGTAAGCTATCCCCAGCAACGTGGTTTCCCTGACTTTAAGGTCAGGCTTGTGCCAACACCCAAGAGAAAGACCCACACTATGCTGGCAGAGACCACAGTTCAATAAGAATGTAAAGGTTTGCAGATTTTAAGTTTTTTAAGTTCTACTTTATATGAACTAACTCCTCTTAGGAACAGGGTCCTAAAGAAACAAGACTAGACATATTATAAAAGAAAGGTCATGAACAGACTAGGTCTCTCACACCTCTGCATATATCACTGTACAAAAGTAGAGGTTGTATATCACCCTAAAACCTCAGGAGAGCCAGTTCAGCTCTGAACAGTGTAACCAAGGAGAGTTAGGGTTCATGGAAAGAAAATTTAGAGAAGATGAGAAAAGAAAGGTTCCAAAAGCAAAACAAAGATATGCATCCAGGAACCAGAGCTTTCTAGAGATCCTGATGACCTTCAGGGAGCCTAAGGCCATTCCCAATCCCCTGGCATGACACGAAGGCAAATGACCAATGTTCACTTTCCTTCTCCAATTGCTACAGTTGTTTAGGGGGAATCTGAATGAGGATCTTAAAACCACCACTAAAGGACAGAGGCCCTCAAAGTGAAAGAACAAGACTAAAGGTCAATGTTGTTGTTGTTAGGTGTTATGGAGACAGCTGCAATTCACAGTGACCCTATGTACAACAGAACAAAACATCGCCAGGTCCTATGCCATCCTCACAATTCCCAATATGCTTGATCCTATCACTGCAGCCACTGTGTCAATCCATTATGTTGAGAGTATTCCTCTTTTTCGCTGATCTTCTACCAAGCCTGATATCCTTCTCTTGGGCATGGTCCCTTCTGACAACAAGGCCAGTAGAAAGTGAGAGAAAGTCTAGCCATTCTCATTTCTAAAGAGCATTCCTGCTACACTTCTTCCATGATAAGACTTGTTTGTTGTTTTGTCAGTCCACGGTAATTTCATTATTTCAATTGTGGTGCTTCGCCAGCACCACAATTCGAAGGCATCAACTCTTCTTCAATCTTCCTTATTCATTCATTGTTCAGCTTTCACATGTGTATGAAGCAAGTGAAAATACCATGGCCTGCGTTAGGAGAACCTTACTCTTCAAACTGACATCTTTGCTTCTTAACATTTTAAAGAAGTCTTTACAACACATTTGCCCAATGCAATACAATGGCTGACTTCTTGATTGCTGCTTCCATGTGTGATTGTGGATCCAAGTAAAAGGAAATCCCTGACAACGTCCATCTTTTCTCCAATTATCATAATGTCGCTTATTGGTACAGTCATGAGGATTTTCGTTTTATGTTGAAGTGCAATCCATACTGAAGTCTTTGATCTTCATCAGAAAGAGCTTCAAGTCATCTTCACATTTAGCAGGCAAGGTTGTATCAGCCGCCTATTACAGGTTGTTAATGAGTATTCCTATAATCTTGATCTTCATATAGTCCAGCTTCTAGGTTTATACAGTATACAGATTGAGTAAGTACAGTGAAAGGACAAAACCCTGATGCACACCCTTCCTTCATTTTAAACCATGTAGTAACCCCTTATTCTGTTTGAACAACAGTCTCTTGGTCTATGTACAGGTTCCTCTGGGATTCCCATTCTCTGCAGTGCTCTCCATAATTTGTTATGATCCACACAGTCAAATGCCATTGCATAGACAATAAAACACAGGTAAATATCCTTCTGGTATTTTTTGCTTTCAGCTAAGATCCATCTGAAATCAGCAATGATACCCTTGTTCCATGTCCTCTTCTGAATCCAGCTTGAATTGCTGGAAGTTCTCTGTCAATAAATGGCTGGAACAGTTTTTAAATTATCTCCAGCAAAATTTTACTTGTGTGTGATATTAATGATACCATTCAGTAATTAGCACATTCTGTTGGATCACCTTTCTTTGGAATGGCCACAAATATTGGTCACTTCCAGTCAGTTGGCCAGGTAGCTGTCTTCCAAATTTCTTGGAAGAAAAGTAAGTACCTCCAGTGCTGCATCCATTTCTTGAAATATCTCAATGGGTATTCCATCAATTCCTGGAGCCTTGTTTTTCACCAATTTCTTCACTGCAGCTTTGACTTCTTTCTTCAGTACCACTGGTTCTTAATCATATGCTACTTCTTGCCAAAGGTGAACATCAACCAATTCTTTTGGTTATAGTGTGTGATAGTTGGAGCTGTGTGTCAACTTGGCTGGACCACAGTTCTGTGTGGTTGTTCCCATGATGGGATCAGATGACTGTATTCTGAATGGCCAATCTGTTGAAGAGGAGTTTCCCCAGGGGTGTGACCTGCTTCCAGTATATCCAGGGACATCCTGGGAACAGAGACATTCTTCTGCGGATCAGAATTCTGTTGTGCTGCCCACAACTGTCCATGAGTGAGCAGTTAACCGTTCAGCCTGAAGATCTTGGATTCATCATTCATTGGAGTCAACAGCTGGTGTACTGCCTGCCAGCCTTGAGCTCCTCGGCCCCTGTGGATGCGGGAGCCAGGAAAAGCCTCCAGCTTGACATTTGATCCAGGAACTTTGGACTTGCTGGCTTCTATACGTGTGTGAGCCATTATCCTAAGATAAATTTCCCTCTCTCTCTCTCTCTCTCTATATATATACATATATA